GTCGCTATAGAATGAATTGCGCTACTATTTTCACAATTGTATTGATATTTGGTGTCAAATACACATATCTTGGTATATTTGAAGTCCCAAAACGGCTTAATTTCAGAAATATCCCAAATTTAAATTCAAAAATGACCGTTAGCTCCGCACCCTCCGCTCATTTGCTCCGCACCCAATATTTCCCACAGGCTCTGTCTGCATAGGGTGTATATGTTCCTAATGAAATTGTTGCCTATTAGTCCAGCGGAATAATGGCATATTGAAACTTTTGGTTGCCTTCTAGGATGTATGCTATATATATAATTAACACCATCCCAAACATGTATCAAGTCATATCTATGAATAATGTGAGCTCACAATTACACTTTGTTCAAATTTTATGCCTTCAAAACATAGTGACCCCTTGGAATATATGTGATATCAGGGGGGATAAATGACCAGTACTCTGTAAATATGAGATTTTAGGTAAGGAAAAAAAATAGACACGCTATTAAGGATATATAACAGGTTATACTAGGTGGCTTGAGTTAAAGACTCTGCTCAAGATCATTGAAAAAAAATTCCTTAATTAAAAGGGTATTTCATAGGGGGCGCCACCTATACGAGGCTGTAAAAAATTTTGCCCACCAGTGCCAAACCGGCACAGTTCTGATTTTGAAAGTCAATAACATATAGATGAAGAAAATACAAAGACATAGCATACATCCTAGAAGGCAACCAGCTTCATCGATTCCGCAGGACTATATTTGTTTTATTTATGTATTTAATTATTTTTCCTTAAATGTACACAAGGATCCCACCACGATCAAACGGACATGTGGTTAAATCATATAATCTATCAAATTGTAAGCTCTATTCAGATATGTATTTGATCGTAACACTGTATATCTGAAACCCTACTTTGCATGTATACTCCCCTCAAAATGTTTGGCAACCTTATCTCCAACATCGGACAACATGTTAAACCTCTCAGGGTTGCTGATTTTTTTGGAGGGGAGTGTATTCACCAATATGATGAAACAAAAATTAATTTTGATGAAGATAGCTTGGTATTTTTGCAAAAGGACATATTTAAAAAAAGAGAAATTGAAATAATGATCAGTACAAGAGTAATTTTGATGAATGTTTATCTCCTGTCAGTTGTAACAATGGGAAAATATCAGTCACGGCTGCCAGTGAGAAAAACGTCATAATGCTCATGTTTTGAAATGTAAAATAGAGTGGAAAAGAGTGGAATCAGCAAGGAATTGATTAAATAGCCAAGTAGTGTACACTCTAAATTGTATAGAAATGACAGAAAATTAAGAAGTTCAATGAAATATTATGGAGAAATGGAGTGGAATAGGCATGATCAATGAGAAATTTTAGCAGACGTCTGTGAAACATGGGTGTAACCAGGTTTCTATGGTAACTCTGTATACACCTGCCTGCTCTCAAAATTCACTCTAAATATGCATTTTTAACATTTTGTCAATAAATTTTGAATGAAATGTCTGAAATTTATACATTTTCATACAATATACAGTCCTTGCTTATTGGCTGTGAATTTTGTTCCTCCTTAATATCTCTCTATTTCATGCGATATCATAATTAAAATCATAAAGGTGCTGATTTTTCAAACTGGAATTGCTCTGAATAAACCCTGCTTATTGTGGTTTTCACTTTACATTAATCATTCTAGATATAAAGTTCACCATGGTAATTTGAAATCATCACCATCTAAATCACTTAATAATCAAATGCTACATCTAATTTTGTATAAATCATGCAAGTCAAAAAACAATTTTAGAAAGGGGATCTCAGGTCAGGTAAATCCAACAGCATAAACCCAAGAGGGATTTGAAACATTGATTTCAACATTACTGGAATTGTCAATTTGAAAACATCAGCTGGAAATCCCTCAAGACATTGTCAAAAGAGGAGGGAAGTCAACCACTGTTATCCTTTTTCATATTATGACAAAATTTTGAAGCTCTGAAAATTGTGGCATTGAAATGATATGAGGGGCATTATTCATGTGTGCATGTCACACTGTACCATATTTGGATATACACAGGGAGATATGCCGATATAAAATTAGTGCAAAATTAGTACTAAATTAGTACTCTGGCAAAAGCGCGCTCACGAGCACTCATGCCACGAGTGCTAATTTAGTACTAATTTTGTATTAATTGAGTACTTGGCATATGTATGAGTGCTCATTGAGTAATGAAAAATCAATAAAATTAGCACTATTTTATCACTCATCATATGAGTACTCATTTAGTACTGAAAATGCAATAAATCAATACTCATTTAGTACAAAATGCTACGAGTACTATACTGTATATAATGTGATTTCATGTACGGTTATCTGATGATTTAAAATGAAACTAGTAATAACTGAATTTCTTCTTCGTTTTCTTTATTTTCTTTAATAATTTCACTTCATATATATATATATCTCCCTGTGTATTTTTGTGACAGTCCTGCCAATTAGTACACCTGTACTGTGGACCTAAATAATCCAAACACTTATCTGTTTATCTTTCCTTCAACAGTTATTACTAATGTTCTTTTGTAAATTAGAGAAACAAAAAAAAAATATGGAAAAACATTATTTTGAGTATGACACTTCATGTTAGAAAATTTACGCTAATTACGCCCATTAATGACAATAACATGATTACTCAGATGGTTTGCAGATTTGCATGGCGTGATATACAAACAATGAGCCCCGAAGGACATCTGGGCGGACAAGATAATAGCCACTAATGATTATAACGACAACATACAAATTACAACACCCAGTATAATAAATACTGTACCTAATCTGGAATCACACCCAAGTCAATATTTTCAAAACTGATTTTCTCTCAATAATATCTCTAAAACCTTAGAACATGTACAGGGTGTCAACTAAATATATTCTCTCAGCTAATTTTTTTATCCTCACACTCTTGATGAAATGAAAGCCAGAATTATACATGTAAAATAGAAGAATGTCTTGCATATATTATTTATATCCAAAACTCGATTGACCAATTTCTTCTTAATTAATTTAATTAACGGGCAATCTTTCGGTAGACTGTAAATCTAGTAAATCTAGTAAAACTAGTAAATCTAGTAAATCTAGTAAAATCTTGTAAAAACTTGATAATTCAATATGAAGATATAAAGTGCAAATGTCGAAAATGCACTGAAAATGTCTTTGAATGAATGAAATGAACATGTAGAAAAAGTTCTACCTTTTATTTCATTATATTTAGTTACAAAACAACTATATGTTAGTACTGGATAACAAAATGGTTATCAAATGGTACACCCATTTTATCATCATACACAACCCACCCAAGAAGCATGCTCTATTAACAAATTAAGTTACATATTTAAGGACTGAGGGGACAATGCGTACCATCTAAATGACACAGGCTTGTTTTTCCCTCACAAAATGTTATAATGCTTAGCCTATCAGATAATTTAGTTATTGCTTATTTTTTGGCGATGCTGTTCAATTGACAATATTTGTAGAAGTTCCAATGTGAGAGAAATGGATAAATGGCAATTTCAAAATTGATTTTTGCCAACCCCCAAAAAATAATAAAAAACAATCAAATGCTGTAGTAAGGGCAATCTAGTGAGACAACTTACTGATTGATCTATTTGCTTTACCTATACATAAAGTATAGTATGGCATTTCTACAATGCTTTCCATTTACGTTTTGATGATGATATGTTCCTTGTATTCCTTGTAATTAATAGTTTAAAGCCATATCATATCAGCCCCTTAAACATTCTTTTTTATAATAATATTTCACAATTTTGTTAAAAAATTTGTATATTGATTATTTGATGAAAGGAATGACTCTGAATTTTAATGCAGAGAAGGTATTTTTCTAATGTTGTAAAAGGAATCATAATCACCAATACTCTTACATAGAGACTGACATTGATATCAAATGAATGGTCCCTAAAAAGTTTACAAGATTTTACAAGATTTTACTAGAATTACTAGGTTTACTAGATTTACGAGATTTACTAGATTTACAGTCTACCCAATCTTTCTGATGGTATAACTGATTGACTGTTAACATCCTTTGGTTAGCACTTTTTTGAATTCATGAAAAGTATCTGTTTATTGTAATTTAAATTCATACTTCAAGAGAATGTCAATGCTATTATAATGGGAATTTTCCCAATTCAACTTGTGGTACCATGACAACCATGTCATGTTTCATGTGGTACCATGACAACCATGTCATGTTTCATATGGTAACCATGGCATTTTTATTGAAGAGGGAAATGATAAATAACTATGTGATATTATTGCAATGTATTATAATCTCATGGACCTCAATTTCAGCCATGATGGTTTCAAAATTTCCGTAAATAATTTGCACTAAAATGTTACATCAGAACACGAACTTGAATGTTTATGATCAGCAATGTGATCTTTCCAATGATGTTACTAATAATTTAACAAGAGAATATTTATATTATGGATTTTCATTTAAACCAAACATAAACTGAGCTCCATAAATTTAGCCATTTAATGTTAAAAATCTCCGAAATTTGAGGCAAATTTTTAAAAACTAAAATTCTTTAGGTGTATCAATCTAAATTTGATGGGAATAATGTTTAACTTAGTTATAATTATCAATCAATAAATTTTCTCTTTTTTGTCATCGTCAAAGTTGACATAATGTATTTTTCTTGTTTAAAATTTATGAAAAGGCTGGTGAAATAGTTGCTGGGAATGGATCGGGGTGGCAGACGTCATGCAGGAACAACATTTATCTCAGGTAAAAAGTACCCACTGCCCACATTTCAGACTATAAGACTACTGTATCCTTTTGATACAAGTTTAGAGCACCCAAGGCTGAAAAGAAAATGTTGACATTTTACCAAATAGTTGCTACTCACCTATAAGACTACCTCTCTGGGATCATGCGTAGTAGTTTGGAGAAACAAGTAAATCAGTAAGCACAACTAGCTGATCATCAGTGAATTTCTGCTTATGGTCCTGCCAGTTATCATGATGGGTACGCCTAAAGTCTGACAAAGTCTTCTTAACTGTCATCTGAAAATATATAAATACAACATTGCCAGTTTTTAAAATGTATACCATTACTATTCACTCTGCTGTGTGCAGTTGATGGAGGCGTTATGTCGCAGGTTCGTGTTCTCTACGACAAGCTTAACACTAATATGATAGACATGTTTTGGTCTGTAGGTGCAGCTGTTAACATGGTGATTGTCATGTTGTTGTTATATTCTACTTTTAAACAAGCTTCAAGATCTTCTGTAACAGACCATAACTATAACTCAGTTCAGCTGTTTAGGGTGTTGGGATGTATCACTGCAGCTTTAATAATACCTGGTATTGGTTTTTACTATTGTGTGTATATTGACTACTTGTTTATTATAATAAGGCTAGCAAATGATATTGAGACACAACCAGGGCCTCTTCTATTTGAAGAATCTACGAAAATCTTATCCCTTAAAGATATGCTATACAGATATGTAGGTCAGTATTACATAATCGTGAAATGAATAAGTCTGAATATATCATTGGTCAGAAAACACTAAAATCTGCTTGAAACTGTAAAAGTTTGTACACTCTATTCCACACTGTATAGAAATAAAATAACTTACACCATAAGTAACTGTGAGCCAATCATTGCATAGAAAAAACTTTATGCACTGTTTATAAGATTCACTGAGACAAGTGGGTCAATACTTCATGTACTTTATGTGCTCTCACACAATTACCTTCCCTTGCATAAAGTTGCTGTACAGTTATATGTAACTGAATATTGTATATTCATCACAAACAACCTTAGCAAAATGATGGTTCGACGAAATGGACGGTTCGCTAAAACCAATAAACCAGGCAATCCAGGCCAATTTGGAAAGAAACTAGATAGCGTGATAGCGAATGAGGATAGTAAGTGAAATATATTTTGCAAAGGTCAGCTTGTAAACTACTGGGTAACCCTAAATGATGAGAAATATGATTGTACAAAATATGTTTTGCATGATTTATTCATATCCCAATGATTTAACTCCTTCACTGCATCTAATAAGGTATATAGATACAAATTACGGGACATTTAGGAATTAAGTGACTAGACCAAAGCAAGCATGTTTGAGATTTTAATGATTTTAAATAAATTACCACTTCATTATTTGCTTTTAGACATTCAATCAGTTTTATTTGTCCAACAAACCATATTCACAATTGTTCAATCCAACGAAGATTAGGGGATAAGCTATAGGGACCCCTCCATTTGTCCGTCCATCCATCCTTCAACTAGACAACAGCAACACCAAAGTGTAGCAAATCCCATCGAACAGCCATGGCTGGCATTTTTACAAACAAAGTATACAGCAAAATTTTTTATCTCCATCGAAAAATACTTCAATTCTTTGAAGCAAATGATTCTAAAAGTACAACATATTTTTGAAAAAAGATCATTCTGTTAAGTGAAATTGTGAAAAATATTTTGCAATGTGTGAAATTGAATTAAAGAACATGATTCAATGAATAGTGGATGCTTCAATCCACTTATGTCTTCTAGTCTAGGCTTTGAATTCGGACTACCACCCTCGTTCATAGTCTAGAATCAGGACATATGTTAAATTTAATCATCTACAATACATTGAGTCATTGGCTTAAATCCTATAATATAATATGCCTATCAATATAATATGTAATTATTTAAGTATCATCTCAATGCTTTTAATTTTAATAGAATTATCTTAATATTTTACTAACTGTATTATATGTAGTTTGCATTACTGTTGATAAATAAATAAATGATTGCACTGTTAAGTAAAGAAATAAAGCAATTGTATTATTTAAACTGACTATACACTATAGAAATGATTTTCATTGGAAAATCAAATCAGTACCAAAATTATGGTTACCCTGTAGTAGTGAAAGGCACATTAAAAATGAATATCACCCCCTTCAATCTATTTTTACAGGTTTTTATGATTATTTCAGATTTTTCTATAGTTTGCGTAACCAGGACGGTGAATTTTCTTCATTTTTCATCAAACATTTTGTCTTACCAATATTTATTATATCTGTCAATTTTATCAAAATCGCGCCGCTACGTTTGAAAATAATTCAAATTATGTAGTTTTTCCCATTGAGCTCCATTATAAAAATGGAATTTTCAAACCTAATATTTTAAAATTCTACGTGGTGAAAAGTTGCATATTGAGTAGTTAGTTAATGTTATGGTGTTAAAAATTAAAAACAAAAAGGAATAAAGAAAAAATGCCACAGAGAAGTCTCAATAGAGTCTCTTATGTTGTCTGCATCTGTGAGGCTGGAAAATCAGTCAACATTGATAAATATCAGATTAAAGACTTTCATCAGCCAATATATCCAACTATTCCTGAGCATGGAAGGGGTATTATTATTTATATTAAAAGTGATATTGCATACAATTTAAGACATGACCTCTCAAATCAAAATGAAATTGTATGGGTCGAGTTAGTGATAAACCACAAGCGCATTTTAATAGGTTCATGTTATAATTCTCCTTCATTGGTATCAAAAGAAGAAATACATCAATTTAACAGTAGATTAAAATCCACTCTGCAAAAGATCAGAGTAGAAGATCGGTATGACATGATTCTCCTAAATGGAGATTTTAATGCAAAATGTAAACTTTTTTACGATAAAGATCATGATACCCCTTCCGGTATAGCACTTTTTGACACAATGAGTGATTTTGCATTTAGTGAACTCATTCATGAATCCACAGAGTAACTTTAACATCCAAGTCTTGTCTCGATTTAGTTTTTACTGATGCCCTGGGTAAGATCTTGCATAGTGAGGTTTTACCACCTATAGGAGGCAGTGACCATTCCGCAGTTTTGACCAATGTAGACATTAGCAAGGCAAACATCAAAAAAGTTAATTCCAAAAAGGTTTGGCAGTATAAAAATTGTGACGTGCAGAGGCTTAATCAAAATATTTCTACTCTTGACTGGGATCATGTAATTTACTCTGGGGATATTGACTCTGCAACCCAAAACTTTACTGAAAAATTACTTAGCATATTTAAGGCTTTCATACCATGTAAAGAAAAGTGGACAAAATCAAATGATATGCCATGGTTTAACTCTGACATAAAAAAGGCAATAAACAAGCGCGACAAGTTATATAAAAAATGTAAAACTTCAAATGATAAGAAACACATAGATGAACTTTCGGAGCAGAAAGGTGTAGTTCGAAATTTGATAGAAAATGCAAAAATGACATATGAAAATGATATATGCAATAGTCTCCAAGTACAGGAAAAAAATGATAAATTTTATTGGCTTACGATAAAACAACTTTTATGCACACGATTTGTATCTGAGATACCTGCCCTATTTTCTAACAACTTGATGAATGCTGCCAAGACAGATGAGCAAAAGGCAAATTGTCTTCAATCAATTTTTTTAGAAAAATTTCACCATGACTTTAATTTTAATCTCAATGACTTACCTGTATTTCCAACTAGATCAAATATCCAAATAAATACATTATTCACTGACAGAGTGGAGGTTTGCAAATTTTTGAGACAACTTGATATCTCAAAAGCTGAGGGCCCAGATGGCATTACAAACAAAATGTTGAATCTTGTGGCTGACTCAGTTGATGCCCCAATGTCTAAATTATTTAACCGTATTTTTGAGGAAAACAAATTTCCGAAACCCTGGAAAGATGGGGTTATTATTCCAATATTCAAAAACAAAGGCGCTAAGACTGATTCATCAAACTATAGACCAATTACTCTGTTAAATACAATGGGTAAACTTTGTGAACGAATACATCAGAAAATGCTTAAACACTTAACAGAAAACCATTTGCTTTTCAAAAACCAATCTGGATTTCTGCCTGGACATAGTGTAGAATACCAACTTCTTTGCATTACTAATTATATAATGACATCTTTTGAAGATAATAAAGATGTAAGATCGCTATTTTTGGATATCGAATCAGCGTTTGACAAAATTCCACATGAACTATTACTTCATAAAATAAAATCATATGGTTTTGGTGAAAATATTATAAGTCTTTTCTCTTCATACTTAAAGGATCGTAGAGTACGAAAAAAAGTTAACTCAAATTTTTCTGGCTGGTCTGAAATGGGATATATAAACTCTGGAGTCCCTCAGGGTTCCATTCTTGGACCTATCTTCTTCTTAATGTACATAAATGACCTTCCGGATATTCTTGACTCAACATGTTTCATTTGTGCAGATGACACTTCAATTTATGCCCAAGTGTCCTACAATGAAAACACTGAACTCTCTCACAATAAGCTCCAATCAGATCTAAATAGAATACAATTATGGTCAGATAAATGGAAAATGAAATTTAAACCTAGCAAAACAAGGGAGGTAATCTTTAAAAAGCCAAGAGCAAAGTTACGAAACTATCAACCTCTTCTCCTAAATAATAATAAAATTCAGAGAGTCAATAGCCACAAACACTTGGGAGTCATACTCGATGAGCATCTTAACTTTGAGGAACATATAAATGGAATTGTTTTAAAAACTAGTAAAATGCTCAACCCTCTTCTTTTCCTTAAGTCAAAAATTTCATCTAAACACTTGGAGAAAATGTATACATCATTCATTCTTCCTCATCTTGAGCAAGGTTCACTTTTTATTGATTCCTCTTCAAGGGTTCATATTGAAAAGCTTAATAGAATCCATTATCGAGCTGCACTTTTAGTTTCGGGTGCTATTAGTGGATCTAATTTTGAGAAGGTCTTACAAACCTTAGGATGGAAATCACTACTTGAACGTAGACAGGAAAAGAAAGCAATCTTAATGTTCAAAGTTCATAGAGAAATGGTCCCCGCCTATGTGCAGAATATCTACACACCTTTTTTGAACCCAGCTTATAGAACGGGTTTAAGAACTCAGCGTCAATACATTATTCCTGCCTCTTCATCAGTAAAATTCAAAAATTCACCTGCAATATCCCCTATTAAAACATGGATATCCATTCCAGAAAAAATCAAAAAGAAAGAAACTAAGTCGCAGTTCAAAAGATCATATAATCAATCCTTCGAAAATTCAAAATTAATCTCTGTTTTGACAACTCATCTGAATATTAAGAGATCTTTGGAAATAAAACTTAATCGAATGAGATGTGATCTTTCTTTGCGCTCTGATTTCTTTCGGCACAATTTTGAAAAGTTTAGAGATCCAAGTTGCCCATGCGGATTTCGAAACCAAACAAAGGTACACTATTTACTTGATTGCCCTCTAACACATGATGCCCGACAAACTTTTCTCCAAAGTCTCTCCTAAAATGCTGACCCTGATCTAAAACTTTTCTCCAGCAAATGTAAATATGACAAGGTAGATATGATTCTCTTTGGTGATAAACATCTTTCTCCAAAGCTTAATTCCACACTCATAGAATTATCGTCTGAATTTATAAACAAAATCTTGTGACAACAGCTACCTTGCCAAATTTTCAACCATCATCTGTCATCTCATTTCATCTTCATCATATCTAAACACTACATTATGTTATTGTAATTATTATTATTATTGTACATGTAAAATATTCCACTGTATAAATTGTATCTCCACAAGCCAATAATGTGTAAACTTAGGCTTGTTTTTCCATGTTACTTGTATGAAAGATTGTACGTTACCTATGCTTATGGAAATAAAATAACCTTAAAAAAACAAAAAAAACATTAAATTACTTTTTTTCTTACTAGTGTTACTTTTTTTGTTACTTGACATTATACTTTTATATGCCATTTAGAGTCAGTATTTGTCATGACATTATTGTATATAAACTTTTTCCGGATAAAACAAAAAGAAAAAGTGGGCATATTGGGGGTAAGTTTCCAAGAAACCGTCACAATTTGACATTAAATTTGCTCTCATTATTCCATGTCAATTGACTATTTTCCAAAAGGTCCAATAGTTCTGGCTTCAGCTTTATCTTGGATAAACCTTTTAGTTTTTAGTGCTTATCTGTCAGATTAATTATATTAAATTTAAATTAAGACTGTGCTTTTTGAAAATATTTTTTCACATTTTTTAACACTCTCTGTCAACTCTACTTCCTTCATCATCACACTATTAATGAAGGCAACAAAAGTACTTTGTAGTAAAAGTTTATCAGTGAATGCTTTTTCTATAAGAAATCTATTTCTATGTTTACAGAAACACTTTTCATGAGAATATCAATGCTGCATCAATTCAATTGTGTCTTATTTGAAATGATACATCTAAATATAATTTTTATAATTTTCTAGAATTTCGTTACAATGGAACTTTCCAATAAATCAGGAAAAAAGAGATTCAGACAAAAAAACATGTTTTGAAGTTTATTTAGTTCATAAGTAATTTAGTTTATTTTTGGTCTTATTTTAATTAAGCCTCATGTGGTTCGCTCTTTAATCGATAGGGTATGAAAACATGTACCTCAAAAAGGACAAAAGGTGTGAAAATCCCCATGTTAAACCTATGGGGGAAAACAAGGAAGTATGAATTTGTTCCTCTGCAAACTGCACCATGGGAAATATATTGACCTTATAAGGAAAATCATTCTTGTCTCCTCTTTTGAAGAGGGAACAACGATTACAACAATTAGACTAACCTGAATTGGTTGTGGGTCATCTAAGTGGTTACTAAGGTCCATTAAAACTTGTGGCATAAATTCTGGAACATCGTAAGGATACGCCTGAACGAGTGCACTCAGGCCGAGTATCCCAGCATGCCTCTTGATAAGTGATTCTATAGAGATGGGAACTTGTTGCTGACGCTTCTGTTTCTTCACTTTTGTGCTGCTTAGCTTCTCAAAGTGTGTCTAAAAATCATAAATTAATAGAGGCATTAAGGTAGGCGCAGTATAGTGAGTAATCTGCTTAATCCTCAGGACTGATAATAGATGGCATTATACTCAGTGGATATAATAAACAATCTATCATGGCAGGAAACACCATGCAATCCACTTGTGATGTGCCATCTATATTTGTCACCAAGTGTGAAGTTTTTACAAGTAGCTTTATATTTTAATGATACATCCCAAATATCCCCCGTCTTATTTTACCAATAAAATGTTAGATCTTTATCAACTAAACTAATTATTTTAGCTGCGTATCCTTCCAAGTTCAGGCAAATTTGTTTGTGTTGGTGTGTACAGTATGTAGTTGTATGTCTGTGTACCAGTGCACATAAAATAACACAGGGCTTTTCCAAGAAGGAGTTTCTGACTCTGTCTTCGAGTTTAAAATGGGTTACATCATTGAAAATCAAATTAGGCAGTAACCAAGATACAATACAATACAAATCCTCATATGAGAAATACTGACAAGGCAAGAATTCAATATCTTTTTGTTGTACATTAACATAATTCATTATTATATCACTCCTTTTAAGGACTAACAAACCTACCAGCATTTGTTTATCAATCTTAAGGTATCCACAGTGTAAAAATCCACCAAGTGTTACGGCTGCAGCTTCCCTGACCTCCAGCTGATCATCTACCAATAGATGGAGCACTATGTCCTTGATCTGGTCAAGGTGTTCTGTTTGGAGAACGGTAAATAGATTGTAGAAGACAAATGCCTGGATGAACGTCAATACAGCAGTTCTTGCACGCCAGATTCCAAGTCCAGATATCTGAAATATGAACAGATACTGTTCAATTGTGACATATTTGACAAGATTTTAAGTGAATAGTATGACTGTAACAAGTTATGCCATTAATCATCATAGATCATTGTAACTTATACTTAGAAAGCATAGAATACACAAAGTGTAACATTTTCAATCAGTCTTTCAATTTGCGATAGAAAATCAAAAAGTAAGTTGAAATAAACTATAATCACAACACATGCTCTTTCTTGCTCCCTTTTATTGTGATTTAGAATTTATTTTCTTGGAATAATGTACCTCTTTAATGACATGTAGCACATGTTGAACATTCTCTGTTCTCTGGAGTGTATGGGCCATTAAATGTAGGGCAGTTTGGCACTCAGCTTTCAGCTCATCATCTGTAGTGTCTTGGACATAGATGCAGATCAATGGCAAGAACTTCAACATATCTGGTGGTAAGGTGTATAGCATGCGCCCCATACTACCACTGATCCATTTCAGGGCTGAAATCAGATAAATACAACATTAATATAATGGCAAGAACTTCCAACATATCTGGTGGTAAGGTGTATCATGCCCGTAGCCAGGGGGGGTTCGCAGGGTTCGGGCGAACCCCCCCCCCTGGCCAAAAATTCTTTCAAAATCATGCAGTTTTTGACCATTTTGAGCACTTCTCAAGTGATTTTAGCCTAATTTGGGCCAAAATTGTCAAATGTGAACCCCCCCTGGAATTTTTTGAAAATTGAACCCCCCTTGGCAAATCCTGGCTACGGGCCTGTGTATAGCATGCACCCCATACTACCACTGATCCATTTCAGGGCTGAAATCAGATAAATACAACATTAATATAATGGCAAGAACTTCAACATATCTGGAAGTAAGGTGTACAACATGCGCCCCATACTACCACTGATCCATTTCAGGGCTGAAATGAGATAAATACAACATTAATATAATGGCAAGAATTTCAACATATCTGGTGGTAAGGTGTACAGCATGCGCCCCATACTACCACTGATCCATTTCAGGGCTGAAATCAGATAAATACAACATTAAAATAATGGCAAGAACTTCAAGATATCTGGTGGTAAGTGTATAGCATGCGCCCCATACTACCACTGATCCATTTCAGGGCTGAAATGAGATAAATACAACATTAATATAATGGCAAGAACTTCAACATATCTGGTGGTAAGGTGTACAACATGCACCCCATACTACCACTGATCCATTTCAGGGCTGAAATCAGATAAATACAACATTAATATAATGGCAAGAACTTCGCATATCTGGTGGTAAGGTGTATAGCATGCGCCAAAAATCAAGACAAATGATGGCATAATCAAGACATTGCATCAATTTATATTCCAGTGAATCATTTAAATTCAGGCACTTCATACCTACTACCTCTCCAAAAGTTTGTAAACTCCAGCTCCACTTATAGACCACAATCATGTTAAGCCTGCTTATATACATGTATAGCAATTTAAGGAAATCAGCATAGCTGTACGTCTCTTCTTACCCTTAGTCATTAATCAAGCAAACATTAAATTCAAAGAGTGCAGGCTTCAAAACCAAATCAAATGGGGAATCAGGGTTGTCAATCTTTCAAAGGTGTATCTTATCTCAGAAGACTTTAACTTTTTGTCTGCTTGTCTTTCTAAATCTATTTTTCTTCGAAGTAACTCAGTAAATGATTAGTCCCCAACTTCCCCAAAATAACATAAGAATTTTTATGGGATGTAAGCTTTTTAAATATAACATCAAGACTGCCTACTAAATATGGTGGCAAACAGAAGTTTTCTTTTTTCTGTTGTATTTTCTCTATAACTCATAAGAAAATGTTGTTCACCCAAGTATTATAGATATTGAAATTGCATGAACATTCATCGAGGTTTTGGCTTGCATGACAACCAATTTCTATGTGTACATATAACTTATGTGCTCTAAGTCTAAACTTGCAAATAGCCTGTGTATTATTTTCATTTTGGATATTTAAATAAATTTTTCTTTCAAATAATTTCTAAATTCTACATAAGTTCTCAAAACAGAGTATTTGAGTAGCTTTTGTCTATTGAGTGTTATAATTCTGATATAGTTCTTTAATAATTGTCTTGAAAAAATAAAACGTGAAAGGGCAATTTAGCACTATTTATGGCGGAGTAATTCCTGTTGCTTCAAAGGAATATAAAACCTTCATGACCTCCTTATATTGATGTTTGTCAGGTAAATATAAAAAATTTGAATAGCAAACAAAAAGAATAATTCAGATTGCATTACTTTAACAGGTTGCTAACAAAACACTACACATAAAAAGGAAAGGAAATAAATCTGATCAGAAGAGATGACATTCTGAATTATATCAAATAATTTGTTGGTAAGACACTGATTTATTTCAACTACAGTGTACTTTTAATAATTATCAAGAAATAAAGCTTCATGTATATCTAAATGTAGTTTAAAGCCAAAAAGAGGTCAAAATAATTTCTACTGCATCTTTTTTGAAGTGCTAAAGATATGGTACACATGATGACTTATTTTATAGGTTCTATTAATGTTTATGTTTAGAATTATTGGAATTGAATATTTTAGCAATAGTGAATCACATGTGTACAGTTGATTAGTGGGACATTGTTCCTTTCTTACATTTTTATGACCTCAATAATAAGAGGGGGAAACCCCCAGGGTTCAAAGATGACCTACCTCTATAATGTAAATCTGAATTGAGATAACCTACCATCCTGATTGGTCCAAACAAACATGGTGGATTAAAAATTTTCTAATAATGCTTGAATAATACTATGTTAATTTTGGGCGTATGAACAAATATCATAGCTTGTTATTTCACATGAAGATAAAGAAAGATGTAAGGAATATGCTTATATTGATTAAAAAAACATCACAACGATGTGCAATGTTCGAAAACCAACTAGAGAGAATTTGCGCAAACGAAGGTGGAACACAAGAGACGTAACATGTCTGTCATCTCTAAAGCTCTGGGGGTTTCCCTCCTCTTCTCAATAATCTAAAATTTCTATATTCATGAAATTTCCAACAATGACTCACTCATCTACAAAATGTAAAAGGGGAAGCCCATTAATAAAATATTCATCTCAATCATAAGTCAAATTTAGGGAGGGGGTTGTAGGGGGGTATATAGCAAACGTTCAATATTACACCGAAAAATTGCAAATACCCCCTCCCATCAAATCCTGGGGGGAGGGGGAGGGAAGAATTATTTTTTTGTTGATTTTTTTTTTTGAATATGATCTATATTCATTTTTAGTATGTTATTTTCAGTGTAAAAAAACAATTTTCAAGATTGCATCAGTATTTCTCATTGATATTTCATTATTAAAGCCTGACCAAGGGCGACGCCCACTTTATCAACATGTTAAATATACAAGTTAATGAGTCTTCTATTATGAATAGGAAAATTACCTAATATGGCTGAATAAAACTGACAAGATTACTTATGTTAAGATAATAGATGCTGTAAGTAAGTCAATTTCACTGTTAAAGGCTTGTGAAAGGCCACACCCCTTTTAGATATAAAGATATAATAATATATAATTCACAATTAATGATACATAATTTTTAATGAGAGCACTTTGACTAATTGATACAAGTTACCTCATTAAGTATCTTAACTGCAGTTCAAATATCCTATTTTGTGCATTTAAGCACTTCAACACTCTATTATCATTATCACTCACTTAGGTGCCATGTCCATTACAATCCCTGTCACACAAATACATAATATTGGCTTTAAAGCACTTGCATCTTTTTGTTGATCACTATTGTTTGCAGCTACATTTTACTAGCATTTGGCATGCATCTGAAGCTTGGGGCAATGTTTTCCATTCCGGCACATAAATCATTTTTCCAGCATTTGTGGTAATGGACACTGTGCCAAAAAGGCTATATAGTAATAGAATCTCCTGTTAACTATGCTCTAATATCAACTGTCATAGTGTGAAATATCTCCCGTATCTCCCGTGTTGTAGAGACACAACCTATACCAAGAGATTTGGCGGACAACTAGTATAGTTAGTACTATTTTCTACTCTACGAAATATGAGCTAATATAGGCTGCGTTATATATCTAGGGTAACAAATAGTTTGCCTACCACTCAATTGGACCTATAGAACCAGATATACCCGCCGATTCTATGGAAAACAGCTTCTTCTGGCCTATTTCAGGATATACTATTAAATCAGAGCTCTAAAAACAGGAGATACGCTAACTATACGAAATAACGTCATCATTTCTTATTTCTTTAACTTATCTGGCTTATTAATGATTGACAATGCACTGTCAGCGTTAAGTAATTAGACAGACAAAATAAAACTGATAGATTCACTTTATACACATTATTTAGCCAGATTTAGTATTAATAGAGGTGATTTTTATCTTGACACTTTTTTTAAAAAAAATTTTAAAAAAATATTATTTTCTAGTATTTTCAAATCTAAACCAAAAATATCAAATTACATTGTATTATTTGGGTTCTAAAAAATATTATACGCGATTATAGCTTGATGTACAATCCATCTGGTTAATTACTTAACCAAACAAAACAAAGAATGTACAGTGTGGCAGTTAATAGGATCAACCGTTCTACTGGCCTTCTCATCTCAATTATTTACAAATGTCACACATTATTTTGATTGTTCTATTTCTATTTCAAAAATATTTACAAAATAAATATTTTAGAAGAAAGAAAGAAATTTAACTTGATTTAAATTAATGTTAACAAAATGTTAAGAAAATAAATCAATTAAAAATCAAAAAATTAACTTTCCAATGAGTTAATCAATTCAATCCAAATTTTAACACAGTGTTAATCATAGAATGAGGGACAATATACAATCAAATAAATATAAAAAAAAACTTAATTTGCAAATTATTATTTTTGTGGAAATTAGAACAATCGGCTCTAGATATTAATCCATTAACTCTAACAAACGGATTAGTTATCAGTGAACAAAACTCATTTCATAAAAATTGAAAATAACTTAGGGATTAAAGTATTACTTCTATTGCTCTGACATCAATACATGTATGTGAATGGTGAAAATCTGCATGATTTTGAAAGAATTGTTGGCCAAGGGGAGGGAATCGTAACTTGTTAAGTACGGGCCTGTTTAAAATGCGTAATGTATTTAGGTAAAATTTGAGCAGTTCTGTGTCAAGACTATTTTTGTGGTTTGCAAAGTGAATACAGGTGGTTGTTTGTGCCTGTGTAAGAGGGGGCCTTAAATGTTGTTTGTTGTAAACTTAATGTGGCAGAGAAACAATGGAGTAAAAATGTCAGGAAACCCATTGATTAAAAATTAGCTTTCCGTTGAGTCAATCAAT